TTGTACTCCCATTCCCCCCGCACCCCCCCCCCACAAAAAAATCTAATTTGTCCTTGAGCACAACAGTTTACCCATCCCTTCTCCATACAAAAGGATTAACTACACAAGTGTTGTTTGCTTTTTTTTATATATATATATTGTGTGTGTGTGTTTCGTGTAAAAAGTGACAAGTGTCCAGATAATAGAAAAAAATGGAGCAGGAAAGTGCCTTCCTGTTCACTGCAACGTGAGTGCTCCCAATTCTTTTCAAACGTTATTTCCATCAAGCTAACAACAGCTATGCTAACAAAAGCATACGGGCTAAAGGTGGACTAGTCGTGAGCCAATCAAAGAGCACCCATATCGAAAGTAACAATAACAATACAGCAGATAAACATTTACACACGCCTGTTCACGCCGATTTCACAATTTAGTCATCCTTGAACCTATCATGCACGTTTTTGGAACGTGGAAGGAAGACAAGAGTGCTAAAAAACGCACGCACACACACACACACACACACACACACACACACACACACACACACACACACACAAGCACAGACACCGTGCTTCTTGTGCACCAGTGAGAATTAAGTGTAAATAATCTTGCGAGATCTTAACATGGATCACAGTGGCATGATGCTGCTCCTCCCTCCTGTGTAATTACCAGTCAGCACAAATGCCCAACGTTTAATGGCGAGAACCGCAGTGGGACAGACATCAGGCCTCGACGTTGTTTCACACAATTAGACGCGCACCAAATACGTTGATACCAACTTTTTTTTTCCTTCTGTCTTTTCTAATTCATTGGTTGTTTTTGACATACCGATTTAAATTTTTTTTTTTTTTTTTTAATTGGAGGATCCAGAGGTGCCATCACATGCAACAAAAGTGGAGGGATAAAAGTAGTTTTCAATTGACAGCAATGATGGCGAAGCAGCGCGAGAAGAAAGACAACATCGATGCATCCGCTTTTCGAACACAAAAAATAAATAAATAAATACGGGTCATTTTTCTACGCCAATGTTGTGCGGAACACAAATTGCTCCTAATAAGGGACGTTTTGAAACTCGAGAAGTTCCGCTGTGCTTGCCGATTAATTTATTGATTCAAATTCAGCAAGCTTGTTAACGACAAAAAATGCCACGTTTTTTTTTCCCACTTAAAGAGGGACTTCAAATTGTTCTGCCTGTTACGAAACATAGACAGATGTACAACGATACATCATTTTTTTTGGACCAATTAAGTACAATTTGATCAGTATCCACCACACAGTGGTTGGGAATCCCTGGATTTGAAAGACCGTCTTCTACAATACAAAACTTACTTTTGTTTTTGTTTCCACAGAGATGATATTTGATCTGAAAATCCTCTTTAATGAGGACAGAAAATCACAGTGGGTTTTTTTGGTGTGTGTGAGTGTGTGGAGTTTTTTTAAATTTTTTTTCTGCACACCTCCGTAAAGTCTCCGGTAATTGCATCTCACGAGATTTAGACTTCATTTGTGGTCCGGTGAAAAGCCCGAATCTCAAGTGGAATATGTGAAAGCACTCGAGGTGACAGACTTTTTAAATCCACTTCACTTTTCAACACTTCTTCCATCAAGCCCAAACAAGCTGGGTGTTGTGTTTTGTGTGTGTGTGTGTGTGTGTGTGTGTGTGTGTGTGTGTGTGTGTGTGTGTGCGCACGCAAGAGTCTTCTGGGGATGTGCACTGGCAGGTTGGTGGTTATCTTGGTGTGGAGAGGACATTTGCATATTTGGGCTGTCGGCAGTGAGTCTCTGAAGCCGCCATGTGTGTTTGGGAAACAAAGCGCCCCCCAGGCCAATCTCCCTCAAATATGAATACAGTATTTGCATAGCAGCAGCTTTTTTTTTTTTTTTGGAGGGGGGGGAGGGGGAAGAGATTCAGCTCCCGACTGATAACAAAGTCTTTGTGACAACGTGCCACGGCGACAGGAGGCGCGAGTACAAATCAGCAGCTGTGACTCTGTAGGCTGTGACAACTAATTAATACAAATGCACACATTTTCTACAAAGTACAACAGGAGATGGTGTTGATTGTTTTGAATGGATGCCACAACGGGGAGAGTTAACTTGTTTTTTTTTTTTTTGCATTTTTTTAGAGAAGGCATTACATTGGTAATATTGATATCATTATAGGGTAGTACAAGATCGTCTCCTCTTTCATCTATAACTGCTTCAAACAACAAAGAGTATGCAGAAAAGTGGTTAAGATTGAATGTCTGTCTGTGTCTTATGTGTTGTGTTGTATTATTTTGTTATTATGACTTCAAGATGGCGCCGCGAGAGTGGCTGCCTTTACAGCAGCTCCTATACTTTTTGTTCTTCTACTTTCTTCTTTTCATAACATTGCTGCTGTAAATTGGGAATTTCTCCATTGTGAGACGAATAAAGGTTTTCTTATTATTACTGAAATGCAATATAGGAAGTAGTACACGTCGCTCTTGTGCATTATATGCAATGTTTTTTTTTGTTTTTTTTTCTACTGTGTTATTGCAGTAAAATGGCTACTTCGTATTCATTACTGTATTAGATTAGTAACTTGTATTACGAGTTGTCAGTAGTCATTGCGAGAGCCCAAGCCTTAGGGGTTTTTGAGGCTGATGTAATTTTTGGCAGAAAAAAAAAACAGATTATAAATTAATCGGTCGATTAATTCAATATATATATAAAAAAAATATATATACATATATACAAAAAAATATCATACATCACCACAAAGACACCGTTGCGCAACAACACATTGGAGCTGAAAGTCAGCAACGTGGTCATCCAACACAAGTGGATTCTCCAGGAATGAGCTCGGGAGAGTGTCGGCTTGTTTGCAGCTGATTAATGACATCGCAACACGATTGGATTTGAATATCAATGGCGCTCTCTTGCGTAAAGTGACGTTTTAATTGCCACATTAGATTAACTGGGCACTCCTGTACATCGGAACAATCGGCTCTGTTGAGGAGACAGTGATTCATAATTGTTAAGCATGCCTGTGTGCTCATACAGTGCATATGAAAAGTTTACACACCCCTATTTTAATGCCGAGATAAATGGTCATTTTTCCATCAATAATAACTTACCGAGAGAGGAACATAACGGAAATAAAAGTCTGCACACCCTCTTGTAACGGAGGCTCTGGCTGGATTCAAAATTCACCAATGACATTCAAATGGGACTGCCCCCATTTAACGCGCCTCTGGTTAATGCCCCGAAAAAGCTCAGATGTTCTAGTAGGCTTTTTTTGGCTGCTTTTTTTGGAAGCGTTCATCATCGAATTTTTCCAAGGTGCAAGTGCTTTTTTTGGTGATGACGGCTATTGTTTTGGCACCAAACATATCTTTGGAATGGTGGCCAAAAAGTTGGTTTTATCGGACCGTAACAAAGTTTGTTGTTTTCTCTTTGTAAGATAAGGCCACCCTACCCCAAAGTGTGGACACATCAAGAAAAAGAGCCAGTAAGAAATGACTGCAGCTCCTTCAATGTTGCTGTCGGCTTCTTGGGACCCCGCCTGACTAGTTTTCTTCAACTCGAACCCGTGATCCTCTGGCTCCGAAGCCCAAGTCCTTACAAATGAGCTTCTGCAGCTCCCTATACAGTATTATCCCGGGCTCAATTTATTTTATAGAATTTGACATTTGAATAGGGGCGTGTCGACTTTCTGGTATATGCACTGCACATGGAAAAAAGTTCAAACGATCTTTCTCAGGGCACAGGAATGAGCACAACTTGTCTGTTCTGTTGTCTTAAAAGACATCTCGCCTCTCAAGTCACATGGTTGCGTGTCCTTATACGGAGGCATACATGGTCCTTTTGCCATCCCTTTTCAAGCACATTTGATGACTTTTTCATTTTACTTCATTATCATCATGACTGTCAGTTTCTAATGATCAATTTGTATTGCTGCTGCTGCTGCTGCTAACCAAATATTTTGTGACTTGAAAACTTTCCTGACCTAAACATTCGTATTTTTGGATTCAAAACCAAACATTCCGGAAACAAAAGTTTTGTCGGGGAAAAAAATCTAGAGCAAACTTTGGACCCTATTAGTACAACACGGTGAATACAAAGAGGCGCCATGACAAAAGAGCTATTCGGAACAATAGCATCATTAGGCTCCTCTGTCTTCCTCCCATCAGTGAAAATGGAAGTGTTTCATTTATATCCTCTTCTGTTCTCTTTCTGCATCAGTGTAATTGATACGTCAGAGTAATCTTCTTTTAATTAAGACCTGCTGCTGGCACATGCTTCACACCGATAGGCTGCTTGTTGCTCTCATTTCTCTTCTGCGCCTTCTCTCGTCTCTTTTTTTTCTCCTCCCATCTTTTTCGCCTTCAACGCAAGCTCATTTTTCTTTTATCGCAACACTCCTTATTAACACTATCTCAGGGTTGGGCAAACTTTTGTATACATGGCTCTCATATGATTTTTAAAATGAACAGATTCGTAGGTCAGGTGAAAAAAGAGAACATGTTTAGTTTCTTTTTTTTTTTTTTCATTTCAATATTTTTAATTGGATTAAAAATGGAATTCACCTTGATCATCCATCCATCCATTTATTCTCCTCACGAGGGTCACGGGCGTGCTTTGGGCGAGAGGCTCTGCCACACCCGGAAGTGTTCGCCAGCCATCACAGGGCACACATAGACAAACATAGAGCATTCGATTCACCTTTTTTGGCACGTGGGAGGAAACCGGAAGCATGGAAAGAACATGCAAAGTCTATCTAATCAGAAAGGCCAGAGGCCAGATTTGAAACATTCATTAAAAAAAACTGGTTAATCAATAAGTGACACAACAGGAGTCCTAAATATATAAATACTGAATGGGAAGGATGTTGAGTCGTATTGTTCCTACAAAGTACTTTGCCCACTCTCACTATATCTGCTGCCCTTTCCACAGTTACCATTAATCAATGCTAGCCGTTTTCATACCCATCTTTATCCTCCCACATGAAAAGAAAAAAAGTAAAAGCCTTTTCCTTTCTTTCACATGTCCCTCAGTCTCAGCACCACGAAGAGGAGAAGAGAGCCCTCAGCCGCGAGATCATTGTCCTCAACAACCACCTCATGGAGGCCAAGCTCACCATAAATAAACTCAAAGAGGACAATGTGAGTATTTGGGGAACAAGGTGCCCGCTTACGTGTCATGTAACTACTGCAAGGTCACTATAACTGCCTTGTCTGCAAATAAACGTATTCCCAAAAGGGACTACAGTACACTAAAACCACAGAAATGAATAAGTTGCTTCTTGACTTGACTTGAAGAGCAAAGAATAATTTACCGTATTTTCCGCAATATGGGGCGAAGCTAAAAGCATTCGGATTTCTTGGACGTCGTATTTTAAATGTTCTGTAAAGAGCTTTGTTGCAACTGCAGCGGTTGTGGAAGCTCTATATAAATAAAGCTGTACTGTATTGCATTGTATTGTATTCCCTTTAGTGTAGCTCCATCTAGTGGATGCATAATGCAACCGCAGCCACTATTATGGCTGCTATTCTACAGTATGCGCCTTATAATGCGGGGAGCCCAAAATGTGAAAACAGTTTTAAAATAGGCCATACATTAACTTTTGCGCCTTATACTCGCGGAAAATCCGGTACAAGTCAAGATAACAGATATAGGAAAGACAATGGCAAAAAATTAACAGCAAAATGATCAAGATCCTTAGATTATTTTGGTATTTCCCTGGGATTTCAAATTTACAGGGGATCTCAAAAGTCTACCCACCTCTGTTGATATGAGAAACTATTCCAAAATGTTTTCTACCATGAATGTGATCTATAGACTTTACAAATCAACATCTTTGCTGGGGTGAGGAAAGACAATCAACTGAAATAACGTGGTTGCACCATGTGCAGCTCCTTGCGAGTGTTCGTATTTTGTGTTCATGTGTTTGACTGTTTGTCCATTTCAAAGGTGTATCAGCGTTTGGCATATGTAACCATTATAGCATGTTAAGCTAAACAGTTATGTTCATGTTATTGCTAGCACAACATGGGATGTGACCTAGCTGATCCCCCAATATTATAGACCACAAAAGTAGGTAGTGCAAGGCCACCATATGACAAGACAGTTTAGCATCATGAGCATGGCTTTAAAGCTGACCTTTGAAGGTCAAATTAGAGCCTACAATTGCTTTAAATTTGCCTTCTGACACATAAATGAAACAGTAGCCTAGCATAGTCACCCAAAGGGAGCCCGAGGGTGCTTTACTTTCATTCCTGGTCGGTAATCCGGCCTTGGTAGCGCCTATCTGGAGGTTAGCTTGAAGCAGCTTCTCTTCATAAAAGTAAAGCCTCATAGGGTTCCACAACACCTATATATTTGTGCTCCGGGGAGCCACAGCAGATGGAGGAATTAAGTTGGAGCCGCTGGGGGTTTTAAGGGTGAATATACTCTAATCAATGGGCATCCTTCAGGCTATCAGAATCTACAAACGAAAGCTCCGTGGAGCTGAGCTCCAAGGGGCTGCATGTGGCAATGTGCTGCGCTGCCTCTCTTTCTTTTGAACTGAAGATCTTTGCAAGGACTGGAGGCCAGGTTAGATAGTCGCTCTTTGCTATCTGGCAGTCGTGAGCCCCCTTTTGAGCCGCAGAAGAGTATTTGCACAATCCCTCTCCGTTTCCTGCAGGGCTGATTGGAGGTAGGTTCATTTTGAAGCGCGGTGAACCCTCTGCGTTTTTTTCTGCGAGACAGCAATCGCTGCTCATGAGCGGGTCTTGCCACTATCTGCCGTCACAGATACACCCAAAGGGGAAAACCATGAGATTACAATCATGTTATAGTTTTTTCTTTTTTTTAAAGCCAACTGCAATGACAATTCAATATTGCGTGCCATGGTGGCGCTGCTTTTTTAAAATATATATAATACAAGAAAACATGCAAGTGGTCAAGGTTTATCCGCAAATCAGAATCGGGTTGGCAACAAACAATGTCACATTTCTATTGCAGTTCCATGTCTGGTTTTATGGCTGCCAATGTATTTTTCCCGGTAAAAGGCACAATCATGAAGCGACAGATGCTCGCTGGTCTGAAATCTCATGAGATATTGTGTGCCGTCATGCACAATGCTGGCTTAAGATGGATTTTTCTTTCCAGAAAATTGTGCAGTCTCTGGGGTATTCAAAAGTGTTGCCTAACTGTGGAAGCAAGTGAAACTAAGACATCGCCAACAAACTATTTGAACCGTCGCCACAATCCACAGGGCGCCTTAACGTCCCTCCCGGCAACGGCAAGAGAAGGAATAGAATGATTGGAAACAAAGTCACAGCTAACTGGCGGGGGAGTCAAAGCTGTCAGAGCAAAAGCTTTGATGCCCTGGCAAAAAAAAAAAAGAAAAAGAAATAAATAAAAAATTGTCAACGCTGCAGCACGCTCGAGATACACGGAGCAGCAAGACCATGACCTTTTCTAAGTGGGCTGATTTTACAGTGTAAAACTACAAACCACCCACACAGGCGCGGTGGCAGGCAATCACTGAAAACAAGAAAATGGAGCATGTGCCGCAACGGGAGATCACCCTCCGCGTTCAACTTGGAATACAGAAAATGAGACTCTTAATGATGCAGTTTGCTTCTTTGGCTGTCAAGTTGAAACAAAGATTAGGTAGCAAGCAGATTTTAACGGCAACAGGTCACAATACTTTTTGAAGCACGGTGAATAAATAGTACACGCGCCACTGTGTAGTGGTTACGGTCTAGTGCAGTGGTTCCCAACCCCCGGGCCGCGGACCGGTACCGGTCCGTGGGTCATTTGGTACCAGGCCGCACAGAAAGAATAAAGAACTTACATTACTTCCGTTTTATTTAGTTTGGAATCTGAAATATGTTTTATTTTGAAAAATGACCGGATTCTCTGTTACATCCGTCTTCACGCTTCTCCGTCACATGATATGTTACCGCTAAAATGAAACCCAGGAGTTAGCACAATGAGTTAAAAGGAAAGGTCTTGGAAAGTTTCTTTGGGAAGGGGTAAAGGCTCAGCCAGGAGACAGAAGAGGAGCCTAAGACTTTCAAGAAAACGAAGGCGACATTTAATAGACAGTATCAGGAGTCCTACTTCAGATACAGATTTATTTCAACGGGAGATTCCCACGCAGCAAGCCCACTCTGCATATGCGACGACGGTGCGTCGTAATTTTCAAGCACTTTGAATTTGCAGTGTAACTTATTTTGAAGGCATGTTTAAACGTGACCATAGCGACCAAAGAGCGTTGCGGCCAGATAGTACGTTTCTTGTGTCATGATTCGGGTTTATTATTATTTTTAGAATATACCACAGTTTTCATGCAGCTCATATCATATTATTTTGTTGTATTTATCCGCCACACCTTAAAGGGTGGTCACTGAAAATATTGTCTGACATTAAACCGGTCCGTGGGGCAAAAAAAGGTTGGGGACCGCTCGCCTAATGGAACGCTAATAGTTTTGAAAGAGAATTTAAGAAAACAATTTGATTAATCTGAGAGGCTGTTTAGACGCTTGGCTAGGTGCTTCTATATTGAAATCTAGAAAATGCGAACTTTTCAAAGTCTGAAAAAAATCATGATCAATTGGAGTAGGGAGAGATCTAAAAGAGGCAGGAAATGGCTCTCGAGGAACTGCAGTTCACTACGCCTGCTATGGATGATATCACAGAAAAAGGTTCAATGTTGGTCTCAAGTTGAAGTGGCATTTGCATTTTTTTTTTGTCATATTTTATAAATAAATAAATTGTCTACTCACAGTTCTGAGGTCCAAATCGAGAGTTCAGGGCCTCCTGTATGGAGTTTGCTGAAGAGTAGTTTTCTCCAGGTACTCGGGCATCCTCGCACATTCCAAAGTTGTCCATCGACGCCTCCGTGAGAGTGAATGATTTGCTCTTCTCTCTGTGCCCTGTGATTGGCTGGCATCCAGTACTTGCCTCTCGCCCAAAGTCAGCAGTGACAGGCTCCAGTTCACCCTAATAGGCACGACAGACGATAGATTGATGGCTATTCCAGATTTTATACACAAAGTAAGCTACTCCACCTGTCCAGTTTATGGCAAAAGAACAAACAACATGATTGAGGCGTCAAATTGTCTGCTTAAAAAAAAACATTTACAAATAGGTGTTCTCCAAAATTGACGACTGGAACCTCTTTACAAGACTGACTACAATCACATCGCATCACCGCACCTAGAAGTAGCCCTCCTCGCTCCCAGGTCTCCCCTAATTACAAATTAATTAAATGGCAATTAAAAAGCTGTAATTTAAAGTGTTCCAGTGTTTGCCCAGCGGCAATATGAACTCAACCCCCCTCGCTCACTCTGGTACTGCCCGAATATAGAGACGGATCTTTGTGTCTCAATTTTCAGGACCTATACAGGAAAGACTGCAATCTGGCTGCCCAGCTGCTGCAGTGCTCCAAGTCTCATTACAGAGCTCACAAGATGTCTGAGGTGAGCCGTTGACTCTCTTTATGCCATGAATATGTAATGCAATGAAGAAACGCCGATTGATCCAAACCCAGTATGGCTCTGAGATCTGCAGATCAATTAGTGGAGCCCAGAGTTGAAAGTAAACACGGTGAAGCTGCATTTAGCCGTGATGCCGCACACAGATGGAATAAGTGTTTTCGTAAAATGCTTATGGGTGTTGCGTCTTGGCTTGCGTGAAGCACATTGAGTTGTCTTGTGTGTATATAAAATGTGCCGGAGGGATAAAGCTGCCTTGCCTTGACTGCCTAATGAGTCGTGACTGCACGATTGTTGGCTCATTTTTTTTAAAACGGTCTCCTGATGTTCATGAACCATCCATTGTCTATCCATTCTTTTTCTATGCCGCAGTGGACATCTTGTAAATGACACAGTGGAGTTAAATAGTGGCAAACTCTCGATGAGTGTAACAACAAACATGGTTACATCCCACCAAAGCTGTGCGCTGTCGTTGAACTCTCAACTGAACTATCGTTGAACCATAACGGAAAGACTCATCTGTGAGAGGAAACGCGTTTTATCTTCCTTTTGAGGTTGCGGACATCATTCTGAATTGCAGTAATACTCTTAAGTGACTAAAGGGAAAAAAAAAATCCCAAACTAATAACTCTCGGAGAAAAGCGTAGAATTTGCTGTGAGGCATAATATAATGAGTGTTACTTTTATCGCCAGCCGTTAAACCGTTAACATCAATAAGTGGAACGAGACCTGTTGAAGTGTTCGTACGCCTTTAGATGCATGAAATCCAAACAGAGCGGCAGTGGTACTGCTAATTAAGATTTGCCTCAGATAGCGAGGAACGCTGAGCTAGCTCTCTCCAATCATCCTCACCTACTTTCCATCTGTATTCCTCCGGGGTGGGGGATTGGCACTTGCTAAAAATAGCCCACACTTACAAGATGCAGGTTATTTTATGCCGAGACGAGCTTCTATTTCCAACCAAAGCCCAGTCAGTCATTTATCTTTTTCCCTCTCTCTCTCTATTTCCATCTGGAGACCCAGGGCGCCGGTTTAATCTGAATCTAAGACGTTCCCTGTGGAACCGATACGTGTTTGATGGTAGACCGAGGGAAGAGGGACACTGAGCGAAAGAAGGAAATGAGGGCTTTTTGCTTGAGAAAGCGCCGCAGGATGAAAGAATGGGAAGATGAGTCGGAGAAAAGATGTTGGAATGGCTGGAACATCCAACTGACACTCACTAAATTTAATAGGCACAGAGGACAAGTTCGTAATTGACAGATAACGGTACAACGGGGGGAAAAAAGGAAATGTTTTCAAAGAGGAAAAATATCTGGTATTATTAAAAGAACGCTCTAGCCTTTGTTGGAAGAAGAGGAAGCAGAATGGTGTTGGGGAAACACAGTGTAACAAATAAATAAATGGATGTCGTGTTCAGCAGTTTCCTGACAAGTTCATTAGGGGCGGGGGGGGGGGGCAAAGTAGTTCAAGTCCCCAGAGAAACACGAGCAGGCCCGGGCGCAGGCCTGGACTGCGCAACAATGAATTACTTTCCAAAGCAGATCAAGAAAATAGAAGTCCTGAAGGAGCAGGAAAAGACAAACATCCTGAAGAGAACCATTTGTCTTCACTTTTACAAATAATGACGAAATAAATTGCACTTCATATTCTCAAAAGCGTGCCAAGTTCAACTGGAAAAAGTGTTGCAAAGCATCACTGACGATCATCTGCTCTAATGCTCCGTTATTCATCAGCCTCGCTTTTGTCTGGCTATGTTTCAGCTACCACTGGACTTCCAGGAACGCATCAGTTCCCACATCGAGAAACAGAATCAGGGTAGCGAAGCCACCATGGCGATGTGCCACTCCAATTACTCCGACGCGGTGCCCACAGCCATCATCGCAAAGATCCTAGAAAAACCAGAACCGGGAAACAGTTGCCCCGTTACTCGTTCCCCGAGTCCACGCCCGCAGGACGGAGACTGCCTGGCCGAACCAGGAAGTAACGATCACTTCAACCGCCGAATCACGTACAAGACCTCCGACCTGTATTGCAGCGACACGGCCCTCTACTGCCCCGAGCGCTGGCAGGAAACGGACCGCCGGCAGAGCATGGACCTCCACGGCACGGCTTTGCTCCAGCTCCATGCCCAGAATTCCACAGACAGTAACCCCGATGAGGAGGCCTACCACTCGGGCAGTTTCTCCCATCACGAGCCGCCTTCATCCTTCCACCACCACGAGGAGTTCAACGCCGGAAGCCTCCCCGCCTCCAGTTCCTACTCGAGTTTCAGCCTCGCCTCCGACGACAAGGGCGGGGTAGCGGGCGGGGGTGTACGCACCGCAAGTAGCACTTTATCCACGTCCCACCAAGGCTTGTATATGGACTGGCGGGAGGGCGGTAGCGGGGAGTATGAACGCAAAAGCATGTCTTCCTACGACAAAGACAGCTCAGGGTTCCCCAAGTCCAACAGCATTCAGCACATTGTCACTTCAGTGAGCCCGCAGAAGGGCCCCTCGCCCGCGTACACAAGGACGGCCTCTTGCTACAGTGAACCGTACCACTCCAGCACCCCTCGCCTGGCCTCCGCCCACAGCATGGGATCTACGACCGGGTTAGGTCAGGCACAAGGCGCGGCTCTGGAAAGCAGGGCTGATATCCACGTCCAAGAGGACGAGCTCAGCGGCCGGTGGAAACAGCTGAGCGTGGAAGATGTCAACGCGTTCTCGTCTTCCTATCGTAACGTCACGGGACGGGGTTCGCCGTACAGTTTCTCCGAGTGTCACTACGCCGCGGGCCCGTCAAGTCAGACCAAGGGATCTCTCTACAGCAGCTTCCAAGAGGGAGATGACGTCTTCCACAGCCACATGCTGGACCAGCGCTTTGAGTTGGGTTCCCCTTCGCCCAGCCGCAGCCCCAAACCTCCGCCTGCGGAGCTTCGCAAACAGAAAAAGAACTCTGCGACGTATCGAGCCAAGGACGGCAATCCAGACAGCTCGATGCTCTCAGAAAGCTCGAAAGAGAAGGAGCGAGCCAAGAACTACGTCAATCTGAGTGCGGGAAGCTCGGCGGAGTCCTTACACCAAAGGCCGTTAGAAGCCTCAAGTCTTCAGCATTACCCAAGCCCCAGGCCGAGCGTCCGGCCCCGCCCGAGCTCCAGCTCCGCCCTAAGCGCCGTCGGCCCGGAGCTCCCCAAGAAAACCTCTCCGAGATACCAAAAATTTGGCAGCACTGGGCTGACAAGGAAGGACAGTCTGACCAAGGCGCAGCTCTACGGCACATTGTTGAACTAAGGCAGCGAGGAAAGAGCTCGTCATTTGATGCATGATGATGATGATGATGATGATGATGATTACAAGCCTTCTGTACTGTAATGTCTCAAACGTTCTCTGCAGCATACTTGGTGTGACAAGGGTGTTCAGTGTTTCATGTATCCTAGCCAAGGCATGTTTCATGAAGTTTGCGACACTTTTTCTATTTTATGTCATATTAAAGTGTAGCTTCTAGCTAGCTGAGATGGTGTAGCAGTTCAGTGACTCTTCATTTTATTCATCTTTAGAGCCACTGGGATGAAACCACTTTCGGCAAGACAGACACTGTGCTTTGTGCTAAAACTTTGATACTGAAAACTGTTAGTAAAGCCAGCAAGAAACTTAGCTCTTCTTCTTAAAAAAAAAAAAAAAGTATGAATAGAAAGTAAACGTAAAGCATGTTTAAACGATTGTAACTACTTCATGAGCATTTTCCATTTTGTTGTATGACGTTTCAAAAGTGACGTTGATCTAATTAATCAAAACTGACTGAACTATGAAAGAAATGTCAAAACCCAACAAACAATGCAACGGTTCAGATGCAAGCTGCAAGAGTTTTGACACAACTCGGCTGGATTTTGTCTTATTTTTTGTATGTGAACATTTGATCCGTAAATGCAATGCTGGATTGCACAATCCTTATCCGTATAAGCAGGATACTGGTTAAGTTGCCTTAATTCCGTTGAGTGGGGCACAACTTTGCAGAATCTAATGAGTGCGCATCCTGTATAGCTGCTCTCCTGATTCTGCAGCGTCTTCTTCATGCTCGGCATCGCGGTGTCTCCGAAGAGGGGGGTGAGCCTCTTGCATGAATGGGAATGAGGCTGCTAGATCGAACACATGGCTCTCAGTCCATTTTAAATAATTTGTGAGCTTTTTGGCCCAATTTGGCTGTTCACAGCTAAGTAGATTTAATTATGAGATGTGCAACATGCGGAATTGTGTAAAACAAGAAAAATAGGACTCAAGCATAGATGCAACCAAGTGTGCCAACCGAGAGTGTCCAATTAGGCGTTCTACATTTCGGCTTTTGCGAAATAATGAGATCACAAGTCATTTTTCTAATAAGCTTACTCCTTATATTGAGTTTGCAAGTCATTTTCATTTGAGTGAATTCCATTAAAATGACATATAGGATCATCAAAGACACAGAAATGGTCTTCAACAGTTTAGACACCCCCTTGTGTTAATTAGGTACTCTTCACTGTGCAAGTAGGGCTACCAAAGCAAAATTGGAGCCGAAATGACTTGAATTAAATAATCCTGCTTAAGTTTGTCCATTTCTCCGAGTGAAGAAGACATATTCAAAACGAACTCGCAGTGAGACTTTAAATGCAAACACTGGCTTCAACTGTTTTCAATTGAAACATCCATCCATTCACCCATTTTCTTATCCGCTTATCCTCACGAGGGTCGCGGGGCGTGCTGGAGCCTCTCCCAGCTGTCTTGGGACAGTTTACGGGGGACACCCTGAACTGGTTGCCAGCCAATTGCAGGGCACACAGACGAACAACCGTTTGCGGACACAATCAAACCTAGGGACAATTTAGAGTGTTGCATTAACCTGCCAAGCATATTTTGGGAATGTGGGAGGAAACCAGAGTACCCGAAGAAAACCCACACAGGCACAGAGAGAATATGTAAACTCCAAATCAAACCCTGAACCACTGCACTGTGAGCGGGACGTGCTAAGCAGTCACCCACCGTGCCGCAACATTCAAATGAAACAGCATTTCTAAAATTTCAACTTTAATCATACCATTATTTTTTTCAACTTTGTTTTTAATTTCCGCTGTTATGTTTATATGGTGTAAGCGTATGTATTGTATTGATTCAAAGTGAGGTTTCGGAAATAATTGAATGAATTAAAGATATTTTTGTGGAGGTGATGTATTGAAAGAGGCAGACAGAAAATGTATCTTTACACAACAATAAAATGGTTTTCTATTCAGTTGTTTTGCTGTTTATGGAATGTTTTGAGCATCCCAACAAGGAAGTGCAAGTGGGTCTGTCCAAGTTCAGACCAAGCTCCTTCACAGTCCCAGTAAAACCAGAATGTGACCATGTCTGTCTGATGCATGATTAGATATTTTTGTTGTATTTATTTAATAAAGATGAGTGTTGGAAAAATACTTTGCAGGTATTGAGATGATTTATTCATTTTAAATGAAGAAATTATGTACAATGGAAACTCACAAGTTGAATTGCTAAATAGCACTGGCATCAAAATACTGTGATGATAACAGTTCATCCATCCATGACTTTGAATTTCTGAATGTCGCATAATCTCTGGCAGGCATGTTGCTGAATTACTAATTACTAACTACCGCAAACTCCCATATGATTGGGGTGTTGTGTTCCAGATCCACTTGTAACAGGTGTAAATCTGCGATACTGAGTGACCACATTTGAAAAGAATTAACCCCTTCAGCAAACTTTAAACACACGTACACTACAACAAACAAACTATTTTAAACATCATAAAGACTTTTGAACATAAAAAAGCATAAAATGTATAGAAAATACTGTACATATTGTAGTCTGAGTGAGATCCATGCATGAACGGATTAATGGCATTTGAATTCATTTCAACCGGGGAAATTCATTTGGAAGAGGGTAAATTGAATAAATTCAGTTACAAACTTGATGACAGAACAAATTCAAAGTCAAGGTACCACCGCATAATATAAATAATATAAAAACTAAAACATAAAGACCACTTAAAAATCTGGGATTTGGAGGTGGGTGTGAACATTGAACCGCAATGCGGCAGGGAATAATGTAACTACTGCACTAGCCAGCAGCCGCGCTAAAATATGTAGCGGTAGTCTCAGCAATTGCTAACATCATAGCCAATTAACTCACGACAAGGTTTTGTGTGACCTATAAGATGTGTTTTGCTCGGTATCCGGATTTAATTTTTTATTTTTTTAATTTCAGTTTGAATTATATTGTTTTGAGCTTTTTTTTTTTTTTTTTTTGGGTGTATCACCATTTGCCAAGTCTTTATCTGATATTGAAAACAAGAATGAATGACTCACACTTGGGGGGAAAAAAAAAAAAGCATCAAAAGTATCATTCCGGACTGAAATTTATCGTGTATTTTAAGGACACTTCAATTCAAAGATAAAGATCACAAGGGTTTGCACGTCATCCCTCTTTTGTTGACGGGTGGGATTTTTGGACAAAGCTGACAAGCGCTGACAGATGTGAACGATTCATTTTTCTTTAGTCTCGCTCTGGCTGCGATGTTGAGGGAAATGTCACATCAGAGCTGCTGAGAACAAAGGCCCATCAAGAGACAAAGAGAATTTTACTTTGAAAGATAATGACTTCGAGGAGTGTCGATGCCGTGTTTATGTGCCCCAAAGATCCAGTTCCACTTGAAGTCTTCACCTACCTAACATTTAAGTTCCATTTTCTTTTTTTGGGGGTGGGGGGGGGCTGCATCCTCAGTGCCAGACCTTGATCTCACCGGCCCAGTCGCAAGTGGCAGAGACGGCGGGCAGGACGGGATGCTGGGACACGCAAAGGCACGGCTGGCTGTGTGCTTGCAGCGAGCGAAGCGGCCGGCCGTTTTGATAGTCGTAGAAGTGGGCCGAGCCGGTGGAGCTGCCGGACACTAAAATGGTTCCGTCCTGAGAGAATTCGCATCGCACCGCATATCCCTCCACCTAAGAGAGGCAATACTCATGTTAGGCGTTCTCTTTTCAGTGTTGGGATGCATTTTTAACCCTTTCAGGGACAGCGGTTACTACAGGGGACAGCTTGTCAGGTTATCAGGTGCATGAAAGGGATAAAACAGACACGAACAAACGGGTCACCTTTGTTGAGTATAGTGAGAGCCAATGATGAGATTAAATATGAATACAGTTGTGTCTTAATGTGCGATAATAAATTTAGCTTACTTGCAACTCTCTTGAAACACAAACTACAAGAAATAAAAAAATATTAATGAAAATGCACCATTATCATGCTGAGATCTCATTATCTTATCGAACGTATCCCCTGGTGAGATACAATTAAAATGTGCGGCGTATGTGTGTAATGTAATGCATTGCATGTGAGTTCACCCATCATCCATGACTAGTGTGGGAATATCGAATAGTGCTTAGTGACTTTGTGTTGCGGGGGGGGGATGTTTTGGAAAGACAAACACTGCAGGCTTCGAAACTACAAGTTGTTTCCTGACTTACGACACTTCCTTTGCACACTTTTAATTGCATGTCTGTACATCCGACAACATCACTTTTTTCCCCCCGCAACTATTGATCTGGGCGAGCGACGCTGCTAATCCTTCCCTGAGGCCAGTGTTATTCCTGACCTTGTGTCCTTCGTAACGTCGCCGCTTGTTCATCCTATAGGGCCTCTGGGAGGAGAACAAAGCCACGTAGTTGCCGTTCGTCTGGGCTACAAAGGAATCCTCCTGTGGATGGAGAGCCAGGCTGGGGCATGTGTAGCGCTCCTGGATACCATTGGGAAATCAAATTAGTACAGTCGATAATATTGAAGCACTTTTTTTGTGGTGTAAAAACACCCAGTACACTACAAAGTTCCTTTAATTACCCTTCCTGCTGATATCGAACCGGATCGATATCGGTATCAGAGAGTACTCTTGGAGGCAATAATGGTGTCGTATCAGAAGTGAAAAAAGTGGACAGGGACACCCCGATTAAAAGAATCCCGTTATTTTCTTTTCTTGTTCAACACACTTGCTTACATGGTATATCTGGTTGGAAACCTTGGCGCCGGTGTGGAAGTCCCAGGCGATCAGGGTACGGTCTGCAGAATCTCTGCTGACACAGTCGGAGCTCGTGATGACGTCCAGGCCACCTCGAAGGAAGAGAATGTCCAATGTCTGCTGGATTGCTGCTTTGTACACTTTAACAACCTGAGGTGAAAACAAAAAACAAACAAACAAATATTTGGAAAAAGAAAAAAAAAGAATGAAAAAGACAGATTAATGGCACACTCCTAATAAATACATGGTATCCTCTGCGGTTACCGTACACTAAGATGTATCCTACAATTTTGAATAGTCATCAAAACTTTCGCTGTAGTTGACATCGGAACATCTCTCAAGAGTACGACGTTACAATGACAACAGCACGAAGCAAGAACTCTTATCCATTCACAATGACACCGACATGTTATGTGACACAAACATTTACGATACTTTTGAGAGCTGTCATAAAGATTTTGGGAAAGGGTGATGTAAATGACTACAATATTGGAAATTGGTGCGCCTTTCCAGTACAATACGAGCACAGTGAGTTGAATATCAGTTAGATACACAAATTAAACGAGGCGATGGCTTTATTATGATTTGATTAGTAAGGCTCACCTCTAATAACCACCTAGTAGTCTTTGCAGTTAAGCACATGGCTTGCCACGGCGGCCTTTTAATGAGGCAATCCGGCAGTAGAGATGGTTCATTTGGACTTCCCTCTAATACTTCAACGTAATGGGCTAAGAACGCAACACCTGTTTACAGGGGTCACTGGCCCCATCTGCAATTCCCATTGACACTTAACGGTAAAAGCAATTGCTGGACCCCCATTAACGGCCAAACGCCTGAAGGGGAGAAACGATTCAATTTGCTGTGGGCCAGAATATTATCAGCGAGCACTCCGAATTGTGAATAAGTGCAAAGGATTCTCATCTAAAAGAGTCGACGATGATGAATAGCATTATTCGCTTGCAGCCGCACTCGGAACAATTTATGAGCCCGAAATGAAGTTCACGCCCAACAATTAGTGAGATAACCTGCACAGTTGCTGGGATTTACGTGAGACTATGACCCTTTTAGTGAGGAATACGCACGCCCTTCTACGTGTGTGTGTGTGTGTGTGTGAGAGACTGGATGGGATGCGTTCGCGGCCTCCCTGCCTTTGATTTGGAAAGGTCAAAGCACAGCGGGTGAAGCGCAGTGAATAAAGATGACATGCGCGCAGTAAGGAGGTTAATATGTTTGAACCTTGCAGCAGCGAGAGTCCCAGGCGTTGACCACTGAACTGTAACCTCCGCACAGGAACACTTCAGAGTTGACGGGATGCGAGACCACACACATCACCTTGAACTGGTTATCCGCTTTGACGATGCGCTGGCCTGTTCAGGAAAGAAGCGGAAGCGGGAGAGAGAAAAGAACAAGATCAATGCTTTTTTTTTTTTTTTTTATATCGTCACGTCTCTGATCAGCAGCAGGGAGGTTGTCTTGAATAATGCAGGATATTGTGTAACTCTATAATTATTAGTGTGTCAGATGAAAACTAAATTAGCTTCAAAATGATTTTCAAGCGATTCAGACCTCGCGAAGTTGGAGGAAAAAAGTTCCCCCTATATTCCTCTTCAATTACATGCCATGACTTAAAAAGCATTAAAAATAACAGTGTCAAAAATGTTTAAAGGGGAAGTCAATTCAAAAATGTTCTTGACATATAATATATTTGAACCTCACAGTGCAGAGGTCGTGGGTTCGATCCCAGCTCTGGCCTCCCTGCGTGGAGTTTGCATGTTCTCTCCGGGCCTGCGTGGGTTTTTTCCGGGTACTGCGGTTTCCTCCCACATTCCAAAAAAATGCAAGGCAGGCTGATTGAACACTCAAAATTATCCCTAGGTGTGAGTGTGAGCGCGGATGGTTGTTCGTCTGTGTGTGCCCTGCGATTGGCTGGCAACCGGTTCAGGGTGGCCCCCGCCCACTGCCCGAAGACGGCTGGGATAGGCTCCAGCACCCCACGCGACCCTTGTGAGGATAAGCGGAACGGAAAATGGATGGATAGATAATAGTGGAATTTGCATCAAGCTGCGAAATCCACCCGTTTTTCTCCATTTCAGTGGGCGGCCATTTTGATACTTGCTGCCACCTGAAAAGGACATCAGAGCTGCTCACGTCTCAAACGACCAATCACGGTTCAGCTTGCGAAGGTCACATGTCCAAACTCAGGAAACAGGTGAGCCGTGATTGGTGGTTATTTTGGTGCACATCAATTTTTTGCACACACCAGTTTTGTCAGAGAATTTGGAGGGAAAAAAAAAAAGGGAGCCATGTTGAAGAGGAACCAAAATGTAGAATCTAGTTTGGGTTCGAGGCAGCCTTCGCTAAATCGATTCATAAAAAAACTGAAACACTTGAGGGCCTTCGACGCAATTACACCCAAGAGGGCGCGAATAATAATTTGTGCTTGTGCCGGGCGATGAATTGCAAACTATGTGGCAGCACGCTGTCAAAGGCTATGCAAAACAGAACACCTCGGGTCTCAACGGCTGCTCATTAATTTCAAACAAAACATTGAGGCACACATGCAGAACAGTCTCCGACAGTGAGCCCCTCAAAAAAAAAACAAAAAAAAACTTGAAAGTTATTGCACACTTGTTCCGGAATATTCCTATAAAGCCTTCATAGAAGTGTGAAGCAGCTAACATACTATATAAAAAAATATGGTCCATTCTTCCTCTTAATAGTGGACTACACAGCCCGCTGCCAAATTCGATTGCATCGATCCAAAACTTTTTCGCAGGCGGATTTTGCGAAGCTCGCTCGCTCCCAGTTTAATTGGCTTAGCCACAGCTTGCTCCCGGAGATTTAAAACTCATATTTGCTCATCAACAGCCTCGTCGTCATGAAGAGTGACGTGTCATGTTTTCATTAAGAAAGGATCATTGATGTCAACAGGGAGTGGTCACATCACAGTGTATTGCGATGACACACTGTGAGGGGAAAGTGGTGGCGTGGAGGGACGAGTGGAAGGGCGAGGCCGGGGGGAGGCGAGGAGTTGACGGGGATGGAATGGATATTAGGCCTTATGAATTAAAACAAGGTGCTGTCAAGACACAAGTTTGACAGGCATTATTGGGCAACAAACAAGACAACCAATGTCTCAATCGCAGTTTTTTTTTTTCCACATCAGGATTGCAGGTGAGTTGGAGCATGCTACAACAGACTTTGGACAAATCACCCGGGATTGGTCGCAAATCGATTGCAGTACACTGTAATTTTAGGGAAATAATATAGACTGGCGTCTATTTGATTTTGTGGTGAGCTGCATAGCATTATGAAAGCATGTCATATCCACAATGTTAGCAGAGTTTAGTGGGATGGGATTAAAGTCCACTTGGGCATAATATGGTGTTTAACCAGTTGTGGCATTTTTCTATGATATGTTTGTGGACGTTACTGCCCGAAGACAGCTGGGATAGGCCCCGCGACCCTTGTGAGGATATAGCGGTTCCGAAAACGAATGGATGGATGTTTTTGGACGTGCAAAAATCACTACTGCGTGCTTTTCACCTATGTCAAAGCATAATTCGGAGTCTTTGTAGACTGGCTGGATATAGCGGGGCTGCTCGGTGGGATACAGCTCATTCATTTCACAACAGTACTTTTTTTTTTCCTTGTAACCGCGTCTCAAGAGCAGGTCTATTGTAAAATGATGCGTACAACATACACAGATGCTTTGCCGGTGGCATTTGGAGTAAATGCTTCGCCGCGGGCTGCTGCTACTGAATGGTTTGTCAAGCAGTCTGCACTACTCTAGGCTGTGATCGTCCAGCCACCTTGTTTGCTATCAGCCACTCCAAATGTGTGCAAATGAGAAATACACTACTTGCTATGAATGAGAGGAAGTGGGTGAGTCTTTGGGGACTGAAAAGACTTCCCGGATCCCTTGGAATTTATTTCACACAGTCATACAAAACCTATACGTTGCAAAACACATACGACTCAAATCAAGGTTGCATGAAACAGGCCAAAACAAGGCACTCATTCAATTGCAATTATGTGTGACTAATATCAAACACACTTGACATTTTATCTTTCAGAATTGGGCTGACATTTTCAGGGAAAACATGCCTCGAAAAAACATCGTGATGCATGGCACCACACAAAGGCTCTAGAGTCGAATGGGCATCGAAAGCAAGGGTGTCGAACTGCTTTTCAATGTTGGCCACATCGTAGTTTTGGTTTTCCTCAGAGGGCCAATTATTACTGTGGAAACTACAAAAAGGTCAAGTCACCTAAGTCAGTGGTTCTCAAATGGGGCTATGCATAGTCCTGGTGGCCCATGATGGCACTTCGGGGGGGTATGTGAGATTCTAGAAATATATTTCAAAAGTCGCAGCTATGCAAAAAACAACAACAAAAAAAAAAGCGCTTGATCACAGCAGTTGCCTCTCTGCCACCAAGAATGAAAACAACAACAAAAAATCCTCTGAAGCACAAGACGAAGTGTCTCACGAAAACTCAGTTCAGTGCAACAATGCAATATTCACTGCTGATAGTAATGTTGTCAATCTTCTTTGTAATGATTAAAGATATACAGTTTTTGTGAAAGAGATGTATTTGATCAGTACAAGACAGCATCAGCAAGTACATGAATATTATTTTAGTTTCATCTGTATGTGTGTGACAGTTGAGAATGTTTTAACGTGATTGAATGCATTTTAAAAATGTTACATGATGAAAACGTTTTGGACCTTGGCACAGATTCATTTATTTTATTGCCGAATTAATCCTAATCAATCGTAACTTTTTAAAGCCTTGAGGTATCAAAGGAGACAATAAGTCAATGCGGGCAGCAAAGAGGCTGGAATCCAAAAGGCTCATATAGGGCACGCACGCTCGCTCACACGCACGCACACCACCTACCAAGCAGCCGGGGAGTGTTGGCACATTTCCCTCCGTCAGTCTCTGCCAAAGAGCATGTCCAAGGTGCAGCTCAACAGCTGCCACTTCACTCTAATGGCCCGCAGAAGAAACTCATTCCTTATCCTCTCTGCACCTCTCTCTTTCTTTCGCATTTGTGGCATCTTCCCATTTCTCTTTCTTGTTTCTTCCTATTCCATCTTAACCTGTCTTCCCTCCCTACCTTCCCTGTCCACTGCCTGCACCCAACCTGGGGGTGGAACTGCGTATCCGTGAATGAAATTGGAGCGGGAACAAGTGTGAAGATGGCTGAGGAAAATGTGCTTCTATAGTGGTGTACAGGCAGGAATATGAACAGTTACTAAAGAGCAAACAGCTCTTGACAGAAAGCCACACTTGAACTCCTTGAGATGTTCTACATGTAAAAAAAAATCATCTACTGTATTCCACATAAATGCTAGGATATGTATTATTCTTAGTTGTGCTAAACTGGAAAGAAAAGCTGGACTATTAGTGTTGCAAAAAACGTGGGTATTAATGAATAGCAGGCCAATTACGTGCGACGCTCGGGCCACTGCTGCAGCCGGATTAGCTGGAGAGTTAGAAAAAGTCAAAGCCTGGGTTTTAGCCACATCCAATTACGCCGCAATTGTGCAGAAACAGGACTGGAATCCCCGAGTCCCTTACTGATATGCGGCTAAATTGAATTGGTTTCATTTAGCGCGGCCGTGTGCGAGCAACTCACATTTGAAACAAATAAAACCCTCAGCTGCCATAGAAGTGTTTGAATTTTAAAGGGTGTGAACATGAATAGAATATCAAATTTTAAAAAATGACATTGAGCTGATGGGTGGCGGTTAAGGACGGTTGAGGGTGCACTGAATGAGAAGGACAAGGGTTTCAGCTGAGTTTTTAACTAGTGTCATGTACGAAGGACAAAAGGGGAAAAAAATGAGCCCAGATAGACACAACCTGAATTTGTACATAAGACAGAACAAGCTGCACGATAACGCAGAGGTAAAGTCAGAATAAAGGTAAATACACCTCCATCCATCCGTTGTCCAAACCGCTTAATGAAAAATAGTAAGCACAGCGCTCGAGTGTCTTGTTGTTACTGCAGCGGAGACTAGTAACCGAGAACATACTGTACATATATACATTAAAAAAAAATAAAATAAAATACAAATACCATCCATACATCCATTTTCTGATCCTCTTTATCCTCACAAGGGTCGCGGGGGGTGCTGGAGCCTATCCCAGCCGTCTTCGGGCAGTAGGCGGGGGACACCCTGAACCGGTTGCCAGCCAATCGCGGGGCACACAGAGAACGGACAACCATCCACGCTCACACTCACACCTCGGGACAATTTGGAATGTTCAATCAGCCTGCCATGCATGTTTTTGGAATGTGGGAGGAAAGCGGAGTACCCGGAGAAAACCCACGCAGGCCTGTGGAGAACATGCAAACTCCACACAGGAAGGCCGGAGCCAGGATCAAACCCACAACCTCTGCAATGTGAGGCCAACGTGCTAACCACTGGACCACCGGATACAAATACCGATAATAATAATCAAGGGACCAGTCAAAATGTGGCCGCGGGTTGCTTTCCGCCAGTAACCTATCCCTGGTGTAGACAATTTTTATAAAAATGGGGGATGGGGAATGGTATTCAATATTCAGGGCCAGGGCTCTGTCCCTATCCTACGTGAATAGCAGAAGATTACTTTATCCTAATGCTCAAATGTTAAAAAAAAAAAGGCCAATGACAAATCTGCTCACCCAGAATGATCGAGTGCACAGCTGTGGTTTCCACAGTATAGGCTCACAATACTTTGGGGGTCTTGGTTTAAGCAGGTGCTCCTCAAAATAGTTTTTTGCAGTTCACATTTTCACGATGGTGTCGTGTAAACAGCCTCTTAAGACAGCAGACAAACCCAACAGCAACTGGTTAGAAAAAAAAACAGTTGAGTTTGTTTTCGGCTGTGGCCTGCAAAGCTCCAGAGTAAGGTCATGGCGGTTACTCCAGCCGCGATGTATCAATTATTGATGCCCTCCCTGGAGCTGCCTGTGTGCTAAATGTGCAGGCCAAGCTATTATCCTTCGGCCTTATTGGCAGTATTGACAGACAAACTGAGTGGGGAAGGACAAACGGAAGCACGTCATCACAACAAAGTGTTGACGTCGGTGAGGCAAACACCACGGGGGCTTTAAAACCAACATCTGGCTCATTCGGCTAACTCTTATTTACATTAGAGCTTCCATTGCGCCATGTGGGAAGAGGCAGACATCTGATCATGTTTTTAGGTTCTATTTTCTTTTAGGTAAAGGGAACATCTGCACGTACTGACTTTTTAAGGACTCCAAGTTACGTGTTAAGATGGCTCGCCTGGCCGGGTGGAAGCAAAACGTTTGCTGCAGTAAATGTCACCTTGAAAATGCATTGGACGATCACACAAAAGGCCCGGTGACAACCAAATGTCCACAAGATTTGGCACCAAGTAATGAAACAAAAGCGGGAACAAACAACAAAAGCACTCCCCGCTACGCGCTGAGAAGTGAGTGTAGCGCAGCAATAAAAAAAATCACTTTTATCGCTTCATGGTATAATTAAACCACAGTAATGTTTTCACTATGTCCAGAAAAGCACTTTTGTCTGATAGTGACAGATGTTTGTGTGTACAATTGATCGTAGCAAAAGAAACAATGTTGCTGCGCCGAATTAAAAATGTCACACATCCACAAAACGACTAACCACTTTAGATTACAACAGCCTTCACCAATTTTATAGATGCTTAGGGTTTTTTTAAACAATTACCGTATTTTCCGCAATATAAGGTGCTTCGAAGTATAAGGTGAACCTTCAATGCATGGCCTATTCTAAAACTGCTTTCATATCTAAGGCACATAATAAGGCGCATACAATAGAAGTTAAAATTGTGGCTGCAGTTGCGTTATGCATCCACTAGATGGAGCATGCTAAAGTGAATACAATGCAATACAATAGAGCTTTATTTATTTTGAGCTTTCACAACCGCTGGAGCTGAAAGAAAGCGCTTTCCAGAACATTTAAAATACGACGTCCAAGAAATCAAAATATTGATCCAAATATAAGGCGCGTCGGATTATAAGGAACACTGTTGGCTTTTGAGAAAATCGAGTGCTTTTAGGTGCGCCATATGGTGCGGAAAATACGCTACATTTAACTGATGAACAGAAACCAGAGAGGCAGCATGGTGGATAAGTAGTTAGCACATCTATCTCACAGTTCAGAGGCTGGGTGTTTGAATCCGGGCTCTCACCTTCCTGTGTGGAGTTTGCATTTTTGATGTGGTCTTCAAATACTTATTTTATGATGAGAAAATGTGAAGTTGTATTCTTCGGTGTAAAAGTATCGTTTTATTAGGAATTTAATCTCAGTTTTGAGAATTACGACAGTAATATTGTTTCCAATATTGTATCGACCTTTTGTGTGCACAGGTTCCAATTTTGTTGAGATTAAATTTTTGGTGTTATCTCCCAATACTGTAATTGGTTTTCTCCATTTTGATGAAGTTATGATGACTCTACACTCATAGGTTCAATTTCATTAAAAAAAAAAAAAAAAAAGAAGTTAATTTTGTTATTTGATGCCTCACTGCTGGCCTGCTGCTCACCAGTCTCCACGTCGGTAACCACGGCTGTGTTGTCAAAGGACCCAGTGAGGAGCTGGCGGCCGCAGGGGCTCCAGCGTGCATCCCGCACGGCTCCTGAGTGGCATGTGTAAACCCTCAGGCATCGTCCGCTCTCAGCTCCGTCCCACACCTGAAAGGCATCACAAACAGGTCTTGAGCGCACTTATGCACACAGAGGTGTTTTTCATCCAACAAAACCTCAAAAGACACTTAGGGAGGCTTCATACCAGGAAAACCACAGTACTCAGACTTTTATTCATCTCTGATCGATGCACTAAAGTTAGCTTTCCGATTATCATGACCATCACCGATATAAAACTAAAGCATTGTAGGCCTGAGTGTTGACAAAAGCCTCAAAAGGGGTTTTATTCTTGAAAAGTATAGTTCATATGCTTCGAAGCCACTGTGACATAATGCACATTTTGAACATCATCACTGCGCTTAATGTCAGAAAAAAGAAAAATGTACGAAATGATCAGATGGAAACGTTTTGCATAAGTTATATTTCACACACAGATCTTACATCTGAAATAAAAAACATAATGAACTGAATAGACAAATACAACCGAACTGTACTTAGGCAGTGATTCTTTCAAGTACAATCATTTTAATTTGTTCTCTATAAACACATAGAAGGATCTGACACTGATAATAGTTTTTTTGTGTGTGTGCACAGCTACACTATCTAACGCCTGACTGGCATAAAATGTGATAGCAGGCTGCAGATAAATTACAGAGGGCAAAAATAAAAAAAAGACAATGTCCCAAAAGGAGACAGTGATTTTTGACAGAAGTGCTGATCTCTTGTGTTTCTTAATTGCAGTGGCGTGTTCGCACAGTGGTCCTTAGACTTTGGCAAAAGTCGATACAGTGACAAGCGTTTCATCAGACTTACTGCTGCTTATTGGGGCTGATTTTCAGTGTGACGGGCCGCAGCTCAGCCTGACATCAAGTGGGTGGTCTTGTCAGGTGCTCGCTCAAATGAGGTACGACTCTTAACGATGGGAGGCATTTTTTTTTTCAGGGTGCTCCACAGCGAAAGCTCTACGGGCCCCTTCAGACGTAACTCGGCTTCTGTGTTGTATTATTAAACACGCTCTTCACACAGCATTACAAAGAAAGCTACTGTATCAGTGTGGGAGACTGAAGAGAAAGGGATGCACACGGTGGACTGGAGTTTACCAGGGATGGTTCAGAAAGTTAAGTTACACCTTTGCTATTGTTAGAAATATCAATTCCTTGGCTCAGCAGGTCAAGACGAGGACGGCATACTGAGACTTCAGCTTTTCAACATTTGGGGGCTTGAAATCAACCAGGCTTTCTCAACTTTGTCTTTGGACTTTTTTTTCTGGGATTTCGCCACAGAAGGGCAACGTTGATGCTAAAGATGGAGCACACACGCGGAAATAGAACGGTCGTAGCTTCCTAGTACAATATGTCTGAAATGACAGTTAGGTTGATAATAACAATGAAAGAAGACGACATCACACTAAGGCTAGTCTGTAAAAGTGAATTTTAAGAAGTGCTTTTCAAAGCTGTCACTGGTTTTGCGTATCTTCTCTTCTCCGGCAGCATTATGGACAACGCCGAGGGTCTGAGGCTGCCATCTAGCTGGCTCAATAAGGTCTTAAAATGTTTGGTTATATAGCTCGGAGCCCAATCAATATCTGCTTTAAACGCCAGCAGTAAAATTAAATCTAAAACAAACTGGTAGCCACTGTGATAAAACGACAATTGGGGTGATGCAACGCCATTTGTTTGACTCAGTGAGTGTCCATCTACCTGTTGAAATGTGAACCAGCTGAAATTAAGAGACTGATTTACAGATCGAAAAGTAACAGTGGCCTGAAGAAAATAGAAGGATACATTAATTTTTCAAGGTCTAGTTTGATCATTATTGATTTAATTTTGCTTATGGCACAGAGGAGGAGGAAGAATGACGGGACGGTTTTATTGATGCGAGTTGTGAAGGTGCAATCCATTTTTGGCTGTGTGTGTGATAACATCTGTAAAGCTACCATGGCTGGATTAAACGATAAGGTTAGAGTTTTTGCATGTTAAGGAAGAACTACATCAGATTCCAAGTTATTGAGTCGTAGAAAGTTTCGTGCCACCCAGCAGGTGAAATCAGCATCAGCGTAGCAGTAAAAGGTCACTTTGTAGTGCGAGATTATCAAGGGTCAGAAAATGAAAAGACAACCAAATTGGACCGAAACTGAACCTTGCGGTACACCACAGGCAATAGAGAATAAATTGGGAACTAAACCAAACCTTGCGGGATCAAAAGCTGCGCTGGGAACGAGAAGGATTAAACATGGGACCTGCCATCTTCCAGCTATTTAAAAATAGGTTATAGGTTGGATTTTTTTCTGCCTCGAATACTTATTTACATGCATGTGTAAAAATTAAAACCAGTTGTTCATTCATGATCAAGTGGAAATTTGTTGTTGTTTTTTTTTAATCTTCTGTATGTAAACAAACAGAAGAAGTCTATCAACTAACTCAGACCGAAGGAAGCTCACCCCGCACAAAGTAGAACTAATATACCGTGTTCACTTCATATTTGTAAGACGGTTAAGAATGTTGAAGTACAGTGGATAAAGTCGGTTCGCTCCCTTTCCTTATGGGCCTTCACGTCTGTCACACAGGATTCAGCACACAAAAGTTCACTTCTTTTTACACCATTATGACAGTTAACCATTTTAAAACATTACCTTTCCAAAAAAAATGTTTATGTTTGCGACAGCGTTGTGAAAGGCTTGCGTTCCGACTCAAAGGTTCGACTGGACTGTATGATGTTGGGCTTGAGGAAACACTGCCATCTCAAGGCTGTTGTTTCAACTAAGCACATCACCAGAAAATATAAAATGACTCTAATATAGTGTGACTCCAATCGACGACCATTACCTAGCGTGAATAGAACACAAAATAATGAACCAATTAATGCTCTGAGAATAATCTCATAAAATGTGAGACCTGTAAAAGGCTGTTCTCTGCCCCTTTGTCTACATTGTCTTTATTTTCACCGGCCACTTGCACAGCGGATCCTTCATGATGACTCATTGGCTAATCTGCTTTCTAAATGGCTCGGGGTAATTAAAAAATAAATTAGTATTCCTATTATCAATGTAAAACTGCTGCCTTACACCTGTCGTCGCCATGGTGACGACGTCCCATTCCATATGGTCTGAGGATAAGTTCGGGCGACTGCTAAAGAAAGACAAGCTGAGAGAAATGTGAGGACTTCACACACTATGTGTCTTCAGCCAGAAACAATAGCGAAGAACATACGTAATTTAAATATAAGTTGCCCATTAATGCCAGGTTCATAATTGCGACAATTGTTACTTGACTGTTCTTTGAGTCACAGCGAAGGAGGAAATGTAAATGCTAATTCTTTTTATTGCTGAATGTGAACAACTAAACGCACATCCGGGTGCTCTAAATAACACGTTAATAAATAAAGACATTGATTCTGTGACAGCAGGCCAAAGCAAACACTCATGGATGGACATTGCCCCCTGGTGGATTGGTGTACTGCAGACAATCCATTACTTTCGAGATGCTTTAGGGAGCAAAAAAAAAAGTTTTGAAAGATTTTTACACTCAAAAGGTAAAAACCGCTGCAAGAGCTGGCCCCTAAACGGCAATAACTTTCACAATGTATCCTATTTTCAAAAGGATCGTGTCATCGCAATGCTTGCTGAACATAGAACATGACATATGATAATGATGCCAATCATTTTTAATTAAGTCTGTCGGCACATTTGGTGCACAAATCAGTGTGTACGCACACTACGCACACCGTCGGTAAATGAATCCCAATGAGGATGAGCTCGACTGAAAATGGATGGATGGATGGTGGTGATAATTAAAACAGCAGGCAACTGAACATACAAGTGTGTATATATTTTTTTTAGTTCATGTATTCGGTTGACAATTCCTCTCTCCAAAAACAGTAAATGTGATGGTATCTAAGGGACTGTCTTTAGGATTTCCACTGAAGAAAGTAAAGATGGCGTTAACGTGTACTTTCAATTACCATGACTTTCACAAAATGAGCGTTTCCAGGTAGACTCTTCACAACACGGCTTCAGTTCCTGACCGCGTATTACATTTTATTTAATAAAATGAAGTACATGGGATAAATATGATTATTCAGTGGATTGGAAAACCAAAAAGCCAAAAAAATGAGAAAAAATAATTCTATTGGTGTCCTGTTTAAGTAATCTGAGCCTGAGATGCAAAACGCCCAAAGCTTATTTTCCTTATTTGGCCACCAAGTCATGCACGAGGAGCGACGGTGAAGTGGCTTCGATTCTGCCGCTGGGCTCATTTGAATATGCAAATAATCCTCTGCATATTGGAACTGATTATTCATTGCCAAGCTCTCTTAAGAATTGACAGTGGTGTGATATGGTTTCAGAAACCTGCATCTCTTGACCTTTCTCGCTCCTTTTCCCAGGGATAAATAGAGAGAAGGGGAATGTGAGGGGGATCCAGAAGATAGGAAATCCCACGGGTGTTGACATACATTGGACTGACAGAGACAGATATGATTGTACAGAAAGTGGTGCATGTTGTTTCTATATCAAGATGGCAGGGAAATTAATGTGTCACAGCACAGCATATACATTGAACATCAGCTCAGTGATTACCTCCATGACTAGGGCTGAATAATTTTGATAATTACAACACTGCCCTTTCCCGAGTACTCTTTTTGCAACTTTAACCACCTTTAATTATTAAGCCTTAATCAATGTACCTTAAAGGTCTTGTCCATGGAGGCGGACAGCAGTAGATGACTTCTCTGAGCAACCGGACACCATTGCACTGTGTTGACTGGGCCCTGGTGGCCTTGAAGGCTCAACAGAAGTTTCTTGGGTATCCTGGCAGCAGCAGGAGCAGGCGTGTGAGCAAGATGCAGCTTCACTTTCTGAGATACTGCTGAGAGAATGTGGACATCTTTTCCGTGAACACTCCCTGTTAGGTTCTCCTCTTTCGCTGCGGAAGCAGTGACAAGTCTTTGCCTCTTGGGAATATAGGGTCGGACACCGGGCGGAACAGTGCAGGGTCTTTTGGGCTTATCAGAGACATTTGGTGGGGAGTATGGAAGCAGAGTAGCCTTCTTCTGAAGAGCAGCAGGTGAGCTCAGAGAACAACCCTGCTTTTGTGAAGAGGTGGCGTCTTCTCTGGACACAATCTGGTGGCATTCCGACAGTGTGCTGTCAGAGTTCGGCATCAACGGCAACGAATGACAGTCCTTTGCTTTTTTTCCTGACCCAGCTCCTTCTTTCTGGTCAAGGCGTTCATCCTCAGACTCAGAATCCTCATAGGCCACCAATGTGGTCATCCCGAGGGCTAACAATGTTCCAAGGGTGACATCTAGCGGTTAATGAACAAATGCACACAAGATGAATTAGAACATAATAATACCCACAAAATTAAATAAGTAAAGTTGTTTCTTACCCTTGTGATTTTAAATAGTGTCTCAGCATGTCCTAATATCCATATAGCCAGAAGCTTCGAATAACATGCTGGAAAACAAACGAGCCGAGTCGCTAGCCAAAGCTACCTTATTTGTTACGTTGGCGTCTTAAATTCGCTTGTTGGCTTTTCGGAGTGCACCTATCTTACACACGAGAAGGGGACACTCGCTGGCTGTCTTCTAACCTCCTTCAAACATTAAAACATCAAACGTTCACTGTTTGTAGTCGACGTTTTTGAACTGTTTACCTCTGAAAGTACCGATTGAGTGCCTGCGCCGGAAGTATACTTTTATTTTTTAAACTTCCGGTAAAGGGTCCCACGCTTTAAATATGTCCCCATTATTATTACAACGCTATAAGTCAACTTTATTTTTGACATAAAATGAAATCCAAAACTTTGTACATGTGTTATTATTAATATGAATATTTTTTTAATTCAAACGTTTCTTCTCCAAAAGACTGATTTGACAATGGGACCGTTTAATTGATTATATATTTCTCGGGAAGAATTTCAACCGACCATCAAGTTGCTCTTATGCTGATGCAAGTTGTATGGGTGAGCAACCGGCTGTGCAACGCTATTACATGGTATGTGCACGAGTACACTGAATTACTTAAAACCTGCATATGAACTATACGTGTTTTTATTGACAATTTAACTAGTTTAATTGACACGTTACGTGGTGATATTGACGCTTATCTACATAATAGCGAGCCTGTTTCAAGACTGATCACTCACATAATGGGAGTTCCCTTTAGCCAGTGCTACAGTAATGCCACCACATTAAAGACTCATCGTTTATTTTAAATACATTGTAGCTGCTGTTCAGTTCATTTAACTGTCCGTGTTATGACCCCAGTGAAGATGACAGACTATCAAGGAGATGCTGCGAAGAGTCCACTGGAACTCTTTGAAAAACTAACAGAACAGGGTGATAAAGTCAGGAGCCTAAAATCGGCTAAAGCTGAGAAGGTAGGTGCCCATCAACCCAAATATAACAAATAAAGCATAAACCGATGACTTTATGTGTCTGTTCCATCGTAATGTTCAATGACTGCTGATAGTGTAACAAGAACGACCAAGTGCGCGAGTGGTTAGCAGGTGCGCCTCACTATTCTGTTCTCTGGGGTTCGAATAGAGCTTGCACGGTCTCTCCGTGCTTGTGTGAGTTTTCTGTGGGTACTCCGGGTTCCTCTCACCTTCCAAAATCATGCATGCTATGTTAAATGAAGACTAAATGTCCGTGCCATCAGTGCTGGTGGGCCAGCCCAATACAAGTGATGGGTCAAATTGTGACGGGGCTTTGGAACGTGTGTCGACCAAACCAGGATACAATTTCTTAAGCGCACGTTTCAGTATTGGGAAGTGACGTATGACGCCTCGGTGTCTCAGAAGCGGTTCAATTGTGGGTGGAATTAAAGGTACAGTGTGTGCAATATAGTACCATCTAGTGGTGACCTAATAGAATGCAGTGACTTTATTTTTTTGTTGGTATCCAAACGTTTTTAGGATTGATGACCTCTTTTTATTTTTTTCTCTACTCCGGTAACAAAATGGTTTGATTTAGAAGTGCACTTAGCACCTCATAGACCACAAATTTGGCAAAATTCCATTCTAGTGATTCTTTTAATGCGGAAAATGTAAGAGTACAAAAAAAACTGTCACCCATTTTAAATGACAATCAAGGTTTTGGTCGGGGGGGGGAAGCAAAGCTTCAAGTGTTCAGAAGGCTACAGCTGGCCATCACCACCAAATAGTCATTCAAGCAGCAAAAGAGGAGATCATATACATGCATCTAAATACAATAAATAACATACAGTATGTATTATATACTATGACTACAATACTATTTTTGTTCGTTTGATTATTGATGTGAATATTGTTTCTCTAGGCTGAAATTGATGCTGCGGTCCAGTTATTGCTCAAATTGAAAGTGGACTACAAAAAGGTGACGGGCCAAGACTACAAAGCAGGATGTCCGCCATCTGAAAATTCACTTGGCTCAGAAAACGGTCTGGCAGCAGATGGCAACAATGATGAGGGTGATGATGAAGTTAACCCCTGGAGTGTCTCCACCAACAACGCGAAAGGCGTCGATTATGACAAGCTGATTGGTGAGATCAAATTTGCTTCTTCTGTTGGAAAAAAAAGTGGACTGGGTTGTACCAAAGCATAGTAGGGTCACACTTTAAAAGAAAAAGAAATGTGATAAAAATGTCATAGTTGTGACAAAATTGTAATAATGATGTATTAAACAACATATCATATTGCACTTCAGGAAAAAGCTTATTTTGGCAGTCACGTTGCATCTCTTCTAATGTACAACCTTTCTCATAGTAGTTTCTCTATCGTGGATTATTCCCACAACGCTGTCTTCCTTGTTTCAGTGCGCTTTGGCAGCAGTAAAATCGACCAAGCGCTGGTGGACAGAATAGAGAAAGTGACAGGGCGAAAACCTCACCACTTTCTTCGTCGAGGAATCTTCTTTTCACACAGGTTAGTGAGCCTTAAACACACATTAGGTCATGTCGATAGACCTGATCAGTCCATTGAGAGAAAATGAAAGGCAATTTTGAGGAGAACCTGTGAGGATTCCTCTGCTGTGCTGTATTTACAGAGACATGCATCAAGTGCTCGACACATATGAAAAGCACAAGTCCTTCTTCCTGTACACTGGCAGAGGTCCCTCATCACAAGCCATGCACGTTGGCCACCTCATCCCCTTTATCTTCACCAAGTGAGTTGAGCAGCTCAATTCAGCCTAGACTGAGTCGGAAAGCACAAGCGGAGATCCGCAATCGAACCTCTCTTGACAATCCAGTTCTCCCATTGAAAATCACTTCATTGCACTTTGAACGACAATCCAGTTGTTCTCCCATTGAAAATCACTTCATTGCACTTTGAAGATTAGACAAGTGGTAACATCCTTGTTGCAGATGGCTGCAGGACGTGTTCGACATCCCCCTGGTGGTCCAAATGACGGACGATGAGAAGTACCTGTGGAAGGACCTGACGTTGGAGCAGTGCCACCAGTTCGCCATGGAGAACGCCAAGGATATCATCGCCTGCGGTTTCGACGTCAACAAGACCTTCATCTTCTCCGACCTCGACTACATGGGGTTGGTAACCAGTGACTGGCGGCCATCTTGTCTCGGCATGTCCGAGCCACATGAGTTCCGTCACTGTTGTGTATTTTTTTTTCTCTTGTACCCACAGTGCGTCACCGCAATTCTACCGGAATGTAGTGAAGATCCAAAAGCATGTGACGTTCAACCAAGTCAAAGGCATCTTTGGCTTCACAGATAGCGACTGCATTGGTAAGGCAACTAAATGCACCTCACTAAATGTTAATTACAAGCAACACAACCCGAATTGGCACGTTGGTCTGAACTCACCGTAGTTTATTACACAAACTATATGGACGATGGTAATTTACCGTCTAACAGAAGTTTGATCGTCAGGATGGGCATTTGACTGACTTTGCCTGACATCTGACAACTGATGTCATGTCTTTGGTGTTTTAAGCGAGGTACATACGTACTAATTTGGAACATCTTTGCCAATTTCTAAAATGTGACAGACCCCACACGCGACAAGAAAAAAAGTCAGCATGTGTGAGCTTACTGCTCTTATCGCGTGCGGTGTAGTTGAGATGGCCACATCTCTCCTGACAATTGTGTCTTTCCCCCCAACTGATCTATGAGAGGCAGTGCAGGGCTATGCTGACTGCAGGACAGTACAAAGAAGAAGAAGAAAAAAGCAGTCGTCAAAAGAAGATATTGAAGAAGCTAGGGAAGCTACGCTCACTGTTAGCTTATCTGGTACTCCTTGTCATTATGATTGTGCTCAATGACTTTTAAGACAAACAACCCATTCCTTGATGGTATTTGTGTCCGCTAAGCTTCCTAATTGGCTATTCCGTTTCACGTCACAGTCACAGAATTCATGGCTGAACTGTACACATACCGATCTGTTAGCGTAAATACTGTGCAAGTTCAACATTTGGGATTGTCAGCTCAACCATTTTCTGACCATATCAGGGAGGAAAAACACGATCACACCCACCCACGCATAATGACCGTCACCAGATACCACACTAATACTTTGTCAGCAATTTCTCAACCAAACGATGATGTGGCCTTCCTTTTTTCCTGTATGTGACTCTCGGTATATACAGTTAGGTCATCCTTCCTGATCATACACATGGAGTCATAAGGCCTTGGCTGGCTTTGAGCAGAAGAGAGGAAACATTCTCGAATTAGTCTCAGTTATCTGTATGTGTGTACTCTGCATAAGACAGCAAACTGTTTGTTACCTCAATCACTTCAAGAAGAGATCAATCAATCCAATCCACTGAATTCTTAATCAAGAATCGATGATTTGATGACCATGTCCGTCTGTAGTTACCGTCTAAAGGTTTCCTCCATCATGGCTGTCTGCATCTGCTCTACCCAGGAAAGATCAGCTTCCCGGCCATCCAGGCGGCCCCTTCCTTCAGTAACTCTTTCCCACACATCTTTGGGGACAAAAAGGACATTCAGTGTCTCATCCCCTGTGCCATAGACCAGGTCAGTGTTTACAGAAACAGTCAGCAAATATAAGAGCATGAATCGTGGCCGCAGATCTTTCATCCAAGTTCCACACATCGAGGGGCCAGTCACATTTTGAGCAATGTGAAAGTACACTGTTAGTGCACTTCACCGTCAAAAGTTCTCCACCCATACTCCTCCAGTTATTGTGTCATTTGAAAAAAAATACCACTATTTTCCAGCCACTGTGACGACGTAATTTGAGATGGGCACTTCACCCTGTTTTGCCGGTCCAGCGATCCTGGGCACCCTTCCGTCATTGTCCCTCCGTCCTCACTCATACAATAATCGTCCTTGTCCTTTATATTTAGAAATCCTAGCCATCAGCATGGTGCATGGCTACCGAGAGACATACAACACAGCCAACTTAACCAGCCGGATTGATAGTTAGTGAAATGGATGTCCGTTGGCACTTTATTTTCTCTGACTGTACACTAGGTGGCAGTGTTTCTATAAAGGCACAGTTGAGAAGAAAGCCCCCCAACAACACATACCTAAACCCGGTTAGGGACCATTAAAGGGATGGGCAAAAACCCACTTCTGTCCTTGTTTAATTCGTCCTTTTGAAAAAAAAAAAACTTCTCCTTCGTCCTCCATCCCAAAAATGGGCGCCGGGACAGAATGCTCATCTGTGCATATACGTAAGTCACAATCACTTGCTGCTCATTTGATCCTTTTTTCTGATATATACTAGTGTAATGGTAACTAACAATGCATCAGTTTTAGCTAACACCTTTCGCCACTTTCAAAGACCGTCCAGGGCCAAGTTCATGTACTCCTCAGCATTTGGCTTAAC